CCTACATGTATACACACATACATAAGTAAATTAAATTTAAATTCTTACTGGAGGAGATGGGAATGGGGGGGGCGTTGGGGGGAAGGTGAGGGGGACGGGAGGGGGGAGAACAAGGGAATCCGTGACCGATATGTAGAACTGAATTGTATTGCAAAATAAATTAAAATAAATTAAAAAAAAAAAAAAAAAAGAAAGAGGAGGGAGAGGACTCAATGGGAAAGTGCTTGGCTAGCATGTACCTGAAGACTTGATTCAATACTCACCACCAAAATATGAGAGAGACAGAAAGACTGAGAGAGAACAAATTATTTTCTTCCCAATGCCAAGAGGCACACAGAGCTCTGCAAACTGTCCACCGGGAGTGGAAAAGGGAAATGATTGCATTTTTTCCTTCCCTGTCTGCTTTAGTTGTGACATCAATTGCACATGCTGGAGCAGCAGCAATCACAACACCATACAGCAAACACACTGCTTTTATGAACAAAATCAGCAAGTGTAAATAGCCAGGCTAAAACAATATCCCTGTCGTGTGAAGTAACCCATTTAAATGCACTTTTGATTATACGTGTGAAAAACCACACTAGGTACGGTAAAATCAGTAATTTTTTTCAAATCCTCTAGGCATAGCTGTACAATTCCAAATAATCAGACAACATGCAATGATGGTTATATAATCAGTTCAAAATTGGGCTATTTTCTCCTCATTTCTATCAAGAAAAGAAGTATTTGTGGGCCGGGCGGTGGTGGCGCACGCCTTTAATCCCAGCACTCGGGAGGCAGAGCCAGGCGGATCTCTGTGAGTTCGAGGCCAGCCTGGGCTACCAAGTGAGTTCCAGGAGAGGTGCAAAGCTACACAGAGAAACCCTGTCTCAAAAAAACAAAAAAACAAAAAAACAAAAAAACAAAAAAAAAAAAAAAAAAGAAGTATTTGTGAAAATCGGTGTGATCTCTCATACTTGAACTCACAAATGAGGAAATCAATTTGCTGACAATGCTAGACAATATAGGAACATATTTATGAAACCAGAAACACAGCACCTACTCTATAATAACACGCATCCTAAATAAATATTGTTACTTTTCTTGCCATATTACCTTAATGAGTTAAATCTGCAAGTTTTTTTTCTTTTATTTTGTTTCTTTGAGACGAGGTCTTGCTATGTAGCCCAGGCTGGCCTCAGACTCTTAATATTCCTGACTTAGCATCTCAAGTGCTAGGAATTAAGCATATACCACCACACTCAGAAGTAAGTTCCATCACATTAAGTCAACCTACAGACTGAGATCAAGAAGTAAAAGAACTACAATTGTCAGAATGGTAGTTTGAACTGAAATATTCTAGTCATGGTTTATCAGCTACCTGCCTCATTCTTATTCTTACTTATGTCCTAGGAAATATTCCTCTCTAATAACAGAACATTGGCATCTATTATCCCATCGCTTGGAAGATGGAAGTAAGAGAAACAGGCGTCCAAGGCCAGTCTAGGCGACATGAGACACTGTCTCAAAAAGAACAAAACAATCACAGGCTGCTGATAAGGGTGCCCGCCGCCCAGCCTGATAACCTGAATTCAATCTCTAGCACCCACATAGTAGATGACAGACTTGAGTCCTCCAAGTTGTCCTCTGACCTCCACATTCGAGCTGTTGCATACATACAGACACCCACATACAAATGCACATGTACAAAAAATGAACAAGTAAAATGTTCAAAAATAACACTTTTTTGACAGGATGTTAATTAAAGCAGAATGCTCTTTTTAAAAAAAAGGCATGGTGATATATACAATCCTAACACTCAGGGAGGTATAGTGGAAGATCACTGCCAAATTTAAAGCTAGCCTAATCTAGATAGCAAGCTCCAGGCCACTAAGGCTTCATAGAGAAACCCTATCTCAAAAGACAAAAAAATGGGACTGGAAAGATGGATCACCACTTACTGAGCCTAGTTCGGGTCCCAGCACCAGTGGCAGGAAGTTCACAACCTCTTGTATCCAGGGCATCAGACACACTCTCCTGGTTTCAAAGGACACAGGGACACAAACACATACACACACAAATAATTTTTCCCTAAGCATGGGGTGGCATGTCTTTAATCTCAGCACTTAAGAGGCAGAGGCAGGTGGATCTCTGTTGAAGACCAGCTTAGTCTGTACAGTGAGTTCCAGGACAGCCAAGGCTACATAATGAGAGACCTGGTCTCAAAAAAAATTTTAAGAACAAAAATACTTGGAAAACCTGGACTGTCCTTTTAACAAAGATAGGTAAAGAGGATTTTAGGAGAAAACTCCAAAATATTATTTTCATCTATGCAAGGGACTGTATCAGCTCAGAAAATTTACTTCCTAACTGGAAAATGAATATATTTTCATTCCCTGTAACGTCAAAACTTTTAATTATTATTTCATTTGCCAAGCAAATCTGAATAAACTATATAAATAAAAATCAGTTTAACAGTAATTTAGACTTTTTAAAGAGGAATGTGTAGTTTTTAGAGCCCTCATAGGAGTACAGGTTATGATGTGTTACCTGTGATATACTGGAGCGCCCTCCATTTCTTCTCCACTTTATCTCCCTCCTTCTTTCTCCATCATTGCCTCCTCTCCCTTATCCCAAAACAAATTTTACTGCTTTTACATGCATTTTTTTCCAAAGAAAGCAGTCTTCTGCATTAAGGAAAAAAGATGTTCACTTATCCTTTAGGAAAAAATAGTGTTTAACATTAGCTTGGGGCCACAAATCAAGATCTAACACTGGTTTGAAGAGTTTCTATTACATTAGCAAGATGAGAAGAGAAATCAATTTGAGGAAAAACGCAAGGATTCCTTGAGGGGAAATTGGAACAGCTTCTGGCTTTAAAAAATGTTACTTGTGCTGAGCGGTGGTGGCGTACACCTTTAATCCCAGCACTAGGGAGGCAGAGCCAGGCAGATCTGCATGAGTTTGAGGCCAGCCTGTAGAGTGAGATCCAGGACAGGCACCAAAACTACACAGAGAAACCCTGTCTCGAAAAACCAAAAAAAAAAAAAGTTACTCAATGCCAACAATTTGGTGGGGGGCGAGGTTGAGACAGGGTTTCTCTGTGTAGCCCTGGCTGCTCTGGAACTCGATCTGTAGACCAGGCTTGCCTTGAACTCAGAGATCCAGCCTGCCTCTGCCGCCTGAATGCTGGGATCAAAGGTGTACGCCACCACACCTGGCAGCCAATACTTTAAGTCATTGCAAATGAAGGCACAATAATCAGAATTAAAAACTGATTGAGGCTCAACAAAGAAACATAATGGAGGAAGGCAAGACTTGCTCCCAAAACACAAACCATGCCTATCTACTTTTGTGTCTTTTAAATTTGGGGTTATATTACCATTAAGCTCACTATGTTTATCATTTCTCTTTTTTTCTACATGTAGGCTTTTTGTGGATTAACAATTAATTCTATATGACTATCCTTCATGATTTTTTTTGTATTTTAACTTTTTTTTTTTTGGTTTTTCGAGACAGGGTTTCTCTGTGTAGTTTTGGTGCTTGTCCTGGATCTCGCTCTATAGACCAGGCTGGCCTTGCCTACTGAGTGCTGGAATTAAAGGCGTGCGCCACTGCCGACTGGTGTATTTTAACTTTTTTCAAGGTTCCAGGGATAGAACTTATGGCCTTGTCCATGAAAAGGCAACACTCTACCAGCTAACTACCTCCCCAGCCCTTAGTCTTTTTTTCCCCTTGAAATCTTGAAAGGGTAGTTGTTAGAAATAGGCACATTGGTGTACAGTGTGATCTTACCAGTATTTTTGTGCCTGGACTATTCCATTCCTACAGAGCTAAGTCCTATCTACTTTTCCAGACCCAGCTCAAATGCTTCTTTCCAGACACCCATATAAACACTTCCTGGTTGTAATATATGTTCTGAGATTTTAAGTGACTAGGTGATTGTGTGTTTCTTTCCTACTTCATTGTGGGACACTCAAGTATGATAACAAAACTTTCATGTGACTACCATAGTTGCAGGAAAGTTTGAAATTAAAACACTAAAATCTCTGTTCAAAATAACCTTTCATTAAGAGGGATGGTATAAACAACCTAAGTTGTTTATCCAATTAGTGAGGCTGCTAGAACCCAAGATCTTCCTAGCTGAATTCGACTCAATTGAGTGCAAACTCTTTTGAGTCCAGGAACTGTCTCAATCTGGAATTGCCCCATCCCTCAACCTCAGTATCACTTAATTCAATGTTCTGCACACACTGTCTCAATACAAAGCCTTATTACTAAATAATGAGACTATAATTAAAACAAAGTTCAGATCCTAGAAAAATTATTGGCTTGTAAAAGCATGAGTGTTGTCTGAGTTTAAAATAACCTCGGCATCTACAACAAAAATTGTCAAAAGTAAGATGCAGCCCAGCATGTGGTAGGCACTGAATTCAACCCCCAGCACTGAGAAAGGGGAGGAAGAGGAAAAGGGAAAAATGAACAGAGGAAGAGGCTCAGAAAGGCGTCTCAGGGTGGGACAGGGATGGCTCTAACTTTACTAGAAATGGAGTACAAAAAACAAAACGAAGGAGTGACGAGTCTCCGTTTAGCTTAATGCTCCCAGAACGTGACAAGAAGCCAAATGCCCGTTTTCCAAAAATATTTAGTCAGTGATGGTGGTCTTCAGAACCTCAGTTTCTAAAGTAGAAAGAGATGTCACTAAGCAATGATCCCAGTTCACAAGAAGTCCACTGCGGGCAGACCTTCTAGTGTCCACAATTAACTAACACAGGCCACAGATGACCAGAATATTCTCTCCAGAAGAGCACAACAAAGTGACATAAATCAGGACCCAACCTCCCTTTTCTGTCCTGGTCGGGAGGGTAAAGCCTAAGTGTGGTTAAATATGCGAGTTGTGAAGGAGTTTAGAGACTGCCCCAGCTTAGAGTGGTGACCTTCTCACCACTCTAGACAGTAAACCAACTGACAAAACGGCCCCTCCAATGAAGTCGCCGATGGGGAGCCGCTGTGGGACTCACCTGGGTTTCCAGGGCTGGGGTTCGAGCTCCGGCACTCCGCAGGGAGGTAGCGATCAGCCCGCACGCAGCCTCCGCGCTCTCACACACTGAAGAGTCTGGGCGCCAGCGGCGGCAGCTCCTCCCTCGATGGCTTTCCCAGCCCCAGCCTCCCCAGCCCGCAGCGTTTGCCCCGCCCTCCTCCGCGGCCCCCACTTCCGGGTGATGCTGGAGCCCGGAAGCTGGGCCGCCTGGGGAAAACGGCCCAGGTCACGTGAAAGGGAGTGCGCTCCCTGAGCTCCGTGCGCCCCCTGCTGCCCGCATGCAGCCTCGGCCGAGATGGGTTAGACCTCAGAGTCCCCCTTGGCTTCCAACCCTGGTGCCTCATGCAAACTCAACCAAAAGGGGAAAACGTACTTGAACAATAAGAGCTTACCAAAAACCTTCTATAGTTCGTCCTTGTCCAGCATAAAATATCGGAAACCTGGCAAACTGTGTTTACTTACTAAACTAACTCCCGACGGGAAAAATCATAACCATGAACTTCCAATGACATCGTGGTTCACCGTGATGGCTCCTGCCTGCATTCCCAGCGCTTGAATGAGGCAAGAGGATGGCGAGTTGGATCCAGCCTGGGCTACATAGTGAGTTCCTGGCCATACTGGGTATAGAGTAAAACCCTGTCTCAAAAAAAAAAAAAAAAATTTTTCTCCAGGCTGGAGATAGCTCAGTTCTTAAGAGCACTGACTTCCAGAGAACTAATGGTAGCTCACAACCAGTTGTTACTCCAGTTCGAGCGAGTAACAACTCTGATGCCCTCTTCTGGCCTTCTAGGGTACTGCCTACACCTGGTGCACAGACGTACAAACAGACAAAACACCCATATACACAGAAAAAATAAATCTACCCAAATGACAGATGACAGACTGCTGCTATAAACTGTCCTCTAACCCACATATATGCTGTGGTACGTGCTTGCGCGCACGCGCACACAGAGATTTTCTTAAAAAAAAAAATCAACACGGGCCGGGCGGTGGTGGTGCATGCCTTTAATCCCAGCACTTGGGAGGCAGAGGCAGGTGAATCTCTGAGTTCAAGGCCAGCCTGGCCTACAGAGTGAGTTCGGGGACAGGCTCCAAAAGCTACAGAGAAACCTTGTCTTGAAAAAAAAAAATCATACAATGGGGTTGGAGGTATAGCTTAGTGGCTGGCAATTCCTTGAGTTGAATCCCCTGCAGGTAAAAATGCTTACCACCAAACCTACTGACCTGAGCTCCATCCTTGGTGGAGAGAGAGAACTCCCCCAAGTTGTCCTCTGGTCTTCACACCTGAGCTATATATAGTACATACAGCACACCCACGTATAAATACATGCAATAAAATAATTTTTTTTAATAAAAAGGGGCTAGAGTAATGGCTCAGTGGTTAAGAGCACATACTGTTCTTGTAGAGAACCCAAATTCACTTCCCAACATCCACAATGAGTAGTTCACAACTGCCTGTAACTACAGCTCCATGGGACCCAACACCCTTTTCTGAACTCGGAGGCCATCAACACCCAAATGTGCACATACCCAAGCACATATACACATAATTTTAAAATTAATTTTTTAAAGAAACTAAGGTGACTTTTAAGTGGTCTCCATAATATCGACAAATTGAATTATAAGTGCAATATGATTGGTGTTAAACTCAAAGAAATTCACAAAAATATCACTATTCACATAGTTTATACCTTTGGCCACTTGGTACACATTTTTCCCAACACAACTGTCGTTGAACTGCTGTGGGATGTTCTGTATGACAAATGTGTTGCTAATTAGTCAATAAATAAAACACTGATTGGCCATTGGCTAGGCAGGAAGTGTAGGCAGGACAAGGAGGAGAATAAAGCTGGGAAGTGGAAGGCTGAGAGAGAGAGACACTGCCAGCCACCATGATGAGAAACAGCATGTGAAGATGCCGGTAAGCCACGAGCCATGTGGCAAGGTATAGATTAATGGAAATGGATTAATTTAAGCTGTAAGAACAGTTAGCAAGAAGCCTGCCACGGCCATACAATTTGTAACCAATATAAGTCTCTGTGTTTACTTGGTCGGGTCTGAGTGGCTGTGGGACTGGCAGGTGAGAGAGATTTGTCCTGACCGTGGGCCAGGCAGGAAAACTCTAGCTACATTGAACTATTAAAAATAAAACTCACTCAATGGTAGGAATCAGGAAACCAGCTTTAGAGAAGCAGGATAGCAAGTCAGCTAGCTACCCCTCTAGTTAATCTAGATATTGGTTTTCTGTCACCTACCACCTAAAATGTCATCTTTGCCTCCATCCTCTCTACTGCCCACGAATGCTCAAGCATATTAATATTCTTTTCATGATTACTATATTGAACAATATTACTATATTGTCAAAGGACGTCTTCAGTAGGTTTTAGGTTTGCTGTGAGTTCAGTAATTAAGTACCTCCAAATTGCTTCAAATGTGACATTAATATATTCTTAATGAAGTCACCAGGGTAAGGAGACAACATCTGGGGCTGGGATGGCCCTATGGTTAAGAATACTTCCCACAACTGCCTGTAACTCCGGCATACAATGGCACCTCCATGAAGTGGCACACATAAAGAGCAAATCTTTGAACTTTAAAAAAGGCAACATCTGTATTCTCAAAATACCAGTGTTTTGTACTTGTTAAGCTTAATGAATTTAAATAACAAAAAAATACATGACAATTTCATTTCAGAGTAAAGTTAAAAACAGGACTTTATGATATTCAGCTTAATCTAAAGTAGTTCATAGTGCCTCAAAGAATTTTAAAGGATTAGTAATGCTTGTGAGGTAAATTGTCTCAATTCTTCAGCCATTGAAATACATAACAAGCAGGGCGTTGGTGGCACACGCCTTTAATCCCAGAACTTGGGAGGCAGAGGCATGCGGATCTCTGTGAGTTCGAGTCCAGCCTGGGCTACAGAGTGCGTTCCAGGACAGGTTCCAAAGCTACAGAGAGAAACCTTGTCTCGAAAAACCAAAAAAAAAAAAAAAAAGAAGAAGAAAAGAAAAATATATAACAGAGAAGTTAATTTAGTGACCTCCCAACTCTAGGTAATAATAAAATTCCAAGGAAGGTGTTAGAGGTACAACTGACGACATTTTCATGAAAGGGTTGAACCTACCTGGCTGAGTGTAACAGGAAAGCATGCAGGTTAGAATATTGTGGGGGCAAGAATCAATAACTACTGCTTCATTGCTACTAGTGGTTATGGTAGTGTTACAGTCATCCACCAAAGGAGGGCAAGGTGGGTCAGCAGGTGGCGCACCTGCTGCCAAATCTGGCGACCTGAGTTTATTCCCCAGGACCTAGTTAAATGAGAACCTACTCCCCAAAGTTGTCCTCTGACCCTCACACGTGCACTGTGGTCAATGTGGGCACAAACACAAAAATCAAATGTAAAATGTTACATGCAGCTGACAACTATCATTTACTCAACAAAAGAGATCATAGGGAACATTAATTACCTCATCATAAATGAGTGCTAGTTCTGAGGTTAAAAGGTGTAGGATCTAACATCTTCCCCCACCCCACAACCCCCCGGAGCTGAGAACCGAACCCAGGGCCTTGCACTTGCTAGGCAAGCGCTCTACCACTGAGCTAAATCCTCAACCCCCTAAAACATCTTTTAAAAGTTTAACCACATTCAGATTAATTTGTATTTGAATGGCTTAATACCAGTTTGAACATTTCTACAGATTTCATAAAAATGTTCAAGTTTTTTGGTTTGGGGGGGCAGGGTTTCAACTATGTACGACCTGACTAGCCTGGAACTTGCACTGATCCTCCTGCCTCCCCACCTCTTGAATGCTGGGGTTGAAGGTGTATGGCACCACATCCAGCTTAAGTTTTATCGAATAGTATTAATATAGTTACAAATCTTACAAGTAGAAATCATACAATCTTTCAGTAAGCAGAATGTGAAATTCCTAGCAGAGAAATTTAGAGATTGCTAAAGGCAACTTTTTTTTTTTTTTTTTTTCGAGACAGGGTTTCTCTGTGTAGCTTCGAGCCTGTCCTGGAACTCACTCTGCAGCCCAGCCTGGCCTCGAACTCACAGAGATCCACTTGCCTCTGCCTCTGCCTCCTGAGTGCTGAGATTAAAGGTGTTCGCCACCACCGCCCGGCTTAAAGGCAACTTCTCTAACTCAGTTTTGTATCTGGGTTCTCTAAATCTAATACAAATAATGCTACTTGACAAGAACTCCATGCTCTGCTTACTAGAACATTATAAATGTAACTGTAGACTTACAGCTCTAACCAAAAGAATGGAGCACCCAATTCAATTAACGTTTCACTTAGTTGACATCTTACACAGCAAGTTCAGTGCCATATACTAAACTCAGGACAATCCCCAAACCTAAATGTGGTATAGTATTTCTAGAATTACAGAAAGCCAACAGGAGAGGCCAATGAGTCAAGTATCAAAATGTTATCACTTTAAATCCATGATTAACAGATACTCTTATTGTTATGGCAACAATAACTAGGAAGCATGTGACAGATCCTACTTAAGGATTATGCTAAAAATCCACCACCTAATTAAGGCAAATGTGTTATAGGGGCTGAGGAGCTAGTCTTTAGCAAACCTAGCTCACATGTACAGGATCATTATTCGCTTGGGTTTGGTGACAGTTTAAATTCTCTAAGCAGGAGAGGAAGGGAGTTAATGCCAACTCCAAATATCACCGTGAGGTAGAAGGTACTAGGCATAACCTATCCGGACCAAACTCTTGACTGAGCTCTGTGGTTATTTATTCACTAGATGTGATTTCAGCTTACTATAAAGTCGTCTTCCAGATCATAGATTGCCCTCATACCACTTCAAAGAAAAAAGCCATTTTTAATAGACAGCACAGATTTTTGACTCAAATACAATGCTTAAATAAATGAAAAGTCATCACTCTTGGCTTCGTTTACAAAGGAAGAAAACAACCTAAAATGAAGGTTTCAGAAGTACTTTATTTTTTCTTCAATATGCTATATTTTAGTGAACACATGATTCTTTGACTTGGAATCACTTCTAAGTTGATTTCGACACAATCACTTGATTATTGTAGCAGATGGCATGACTACTGATCTCTCCATTCCTTTGGGGTGACTCTGCCAACAGGAGACAGGTTCCATTCTATGC